AGTACTAGCACAGTCCCTTCTCCCTAGCAGATAGTTAATAACCGTCACACACATCCAAAGAAAAGTGTATCAAATATAGTAACAGAGCACTTCCCAGAGACGAGAGTCTGACAAAACCTTTCAGGACAATGACTGCCTGACTACAGAGACTTTATTGGCCCCACTCCAGTTAGCCTCACCGTCAAAAGATGAACTGGGAGTGTGGACATTTACGAACATCTAGAACCAAATTTGTCCTAGCTAAATAACATCCAAGATCCTAACACGGCACGGTGTTGAACACCTGTAACCCCAGCACTCTGGAAGGCTGAGGCAAGAGGATCTTAACTTTAAGCTCTGCTTGAACTTAACCAGATCCTGTCTCAAAATAAAAATTAAAAAGGGATGAGAACGTAGCTTAGTGTCAAAGCGCTGGGTTCAATCACCACTAACCCCCAAAAAGGAAAAATCCCAATTTCACATCAAAGACGAAAAGCCACCAAAACTGACCCTTGCCCACTCAAAGTATTTTCCAGATTACTGACAAAAAGGAACACATCCTCAGCATATTCTAATAACTATGGTCCTTCATCACAGAAGGCCTGAAAACGGAGGGTTAATTATTATGCTACCAGCAAAGGGTTAAGGAGACTATTTCTATCATGTTTGCTTGGAGAATCCTAACTTTCAGTTTTAAGTAAATGATTCCCACACTCCTAGAAAGGCCTTAATTGGGCTAGTCTGTTACTTGTAGTGCTGCCTGGAAAAGGCTAGATTCTTTTTAAGCCCTAAAGAACTTGGGCAAAATTCTTTTGATGATAATTTTTTTAAAGATCATCTCTGGAGCTTACATATGTTCCACAATTAGTAATGCTGATGGAGAGCACATTTTATTCCCAAAGACTCCCTCCAAACTGAAAGCTCTATTTGGCAACACGTCTAATACTGACTTCCTGTATAAAACAAAACACAAAGCAACAAGTATACAACATAATCATAGGTCTAAAAAGCAAGATTTGCAAGAAAAACATAGAAAGTTCAGCTTGTTTAGCCAGAGAAGGGTAAGGAAATGGTGGGTATAGATGGGACAGTCTGTACATGTGACGACTGCCACTGGAGTCCAGGAAAGACAATTCATTCGCTCTGAACATCTGTGCATAGAAGAAAGAAGTGTAGAAAAACAGTAAAAGAAAGAAATACACGTTAACTACTCCCAGTACAAGGAGATAATCTGTGATCATCAATCTGGAAACCTTAGAAACCAGTGCCTTAGGGAGGTTGTTAAATCTCTTGAGAGTGAGATCAAATCCCTTGAGAAAGATTTAAGGATATCAGGAAAATGGAACAGTTTAAAACAGGCAAAGTTCTATCCTAGGACATTACATCTGAGTATCAAAAGGATATCCCCGTCTTGTTTTTCGGTTATCTTAGAAAACCTAAATCACTTCTTTAATAAATTATAAAAATAACAATCGCCTCACAAGTATAAAAACATTAATAACTGTGCAAGCAATGCACCAAAAATGCAATCAAACATTTCTGACATTTAAATAATAGCACTGCCAGAGATTCTTCTGGAGACCCTAACTTTCAAAAGCTTGAAAACATTCTCACCGGAACTCACACCCAAACGTACCAACCAGCAACATGTGCTGCCACTCTCTGGAGGAAACCCCAGGTCTTCCTTTCTGATCTATAAACAGAGGCTACAGACAAAACAAAATGGATTTCAGAGGTCACAAGATACAAAATGGGGGAAGAACCCCAAGTGCTAATCCCGGCATGACTTCTAATGTCTGGTAATAAGGGATTACCATGGTCCGGAAGACAAGCTGAGCTAGGAGATCCCTCGGATATTAAATTCTAGAAACCTCTGAATAAATGGCAAAGCTGGAACTTTTAAGTCATATTTTGGACTTCCAATCCTCTACACTAAGAAAAGCCACATTCCTCAAAAGTCCAGAACCCAACCTGAGTCATGTCCCACTCAACAGGACAGATTTCCAGGGCTAAGGGCGCTTAAAAGTAAACAAGAGTATGGAGAACTGAGATCACACTTGGATTTTGCATTTCTTATTTTAGAAAAAAAAAGCTAACTTTCACATTGGTTAAAATAAAACTTCTCTAGTTGACAAATTTTGTGTTTCTGCCCATCAGCTGCCCTTTTCTGTGCAATCTCCTGGTACCTGATATCCTTGGTCTATGAACCAAGTCTTACAGCACCAACAAGTTCAGAGGGAAAGGACTAGAGGTTGCACAAGGAACAGCAAGAAATCCAGATTGTATTCAAAGTGGCAGAAAATTCTAGTACAATGGTTCAACCCACTGCAGCCTTTCCTGTGCCCATTATCAGCAAAGAATCAAAGGGCCTGGCTATAAATTTGGGTATTCAATGGTCCTGTAAGCTCCCTTGCTATTCGTATGAGCAACACAAGTCACTGGTAGAAAATGTGGAGTGGTAGGACAAGATCGCACGTCTTTAAATCCTGCTGTTTATATCCCGTTCTAGTTCCCACACAGTAATTATCCAGTGGCCCTCTATTGTTTCTTCATAACAAAAAGTGAAATAAATGTGCGTTTTATCTTAATTGGTCTCATTATGTACACGGGTAATCTCAATTCCTTTTTTTAATCTTACCATCTTTTAAAATACAATATTTGGCCCAGGGATATAGCTCAGTGGCACAGTGCCTGCCTCTCAAGCGTGAGGTCATGAGTTTGATTCTTGGTACCACGAAAAAAAATTTTAAAATAAAAAATAAAATACAGTATTTTTAAGACATTAGAATGGGGAGGCATTGCAAATACAATTTATGCAATTAAAGGCTCTTAAACAAATCACGGCATTTGTCTACCTCTCAGGTAGTTGTTAAAGAAAAAAACTTTCACCAAAGCATTGGGAAACATGTCATAAAACATGAAGGACAAGCCGCCAGTCCTGCTGCTTCACAATATGTTCCATTTTAATGTTTGCCTGCTAAGAGTCAGCTCTTTCCTGATCCCCAGCAGCCCTGTGGTCACTGCCCAGTGACCCAAGCTACCTACTGCAGGGTGCTGTAAATAAATGGGGCAGAAACCGAAATACCCAGATATCTTGGCTATATTCCCTTTCATAACCTCCTAATTAAGAACTCCAACTTAGTGATGTGTATGTAACATTCCTGTACACAGATGTCACGTTAACCTTCTAAAAACACTGCTCTCTTCTCTTCTCAAAAATCTTTGAAAGCTAGAGGATATCCACGAGATAAAGTTCCAGCCCACATGCCAGAATCCAAGCTGAGTGCAGTGGGCTTCAGCTGGACCTCCCACTGGATCTCTCACTGTGGAAGGCAGCTGTGGAAAAGCCCAAGAGCCAGACAACCAGGCACTGGAATTCCAGCTCTGCCACTTAGTACTGTGTCATCATGAGCGAGCTGCTTATCTTTCTGCCCTTCTTTCCTTAAAACAAGAACTCCCTCGTCCTTAAAACAAAAACGTACCAACTTCGCTACTTAAAGGACCAAAGAGTGAGAACGGTGCATGGCACAGAAGCAGTGTTCAGTCCTCTCTTTTCTCTCCAGTTCCCATCCAAATGGCCAGCCCTGTTCTTCTAAGGTTCTCTCCAACACTTTCACGACCACACTTCCAGGTCCCATTTAAATCTCTCTTTGAGGCCGCCTTGTCTTGTAAGCATTGGGTTTCTATAATTGTTATAGTCTAAGCATATCAATCAGAAACACATACATCACTCCTCTTTCCCCTAAGAAGCCCACAAACTCAAGAGCAAGGACTTTACTAATTATTGTGCCAGTTACAGTCTATATGTTCAATGAAACAATAGTTGAAGATATAAATTTGTTTAGAGTCATCTACCCAAAATGAATATCCTTATACTCCAATTAGGGGATAATACTACCCATACATGTTTGAATACATCTCCTCCCATTTCTTAGGCGTTTTTTCCCAAGGTATTTACTGAGCAAATAAAAAGAAAAGTTAAACCTATGTTAGTCACCTAGGAACTGCCAGCCCAGCAAAATCCAAAATTTTTTCTTCATTTCATGGGGTCAGTCTGCCCTTGAGTTCCTGCTTAGTCTCCCCTTAATTCAGCATGGGGAAATTCACCTCTTTGATTAGCTTTCGACAACCTAGACTATTGCTGAATCCTTTAGAAACCTCTTTTTCTGAAAAGAAAAAAAAAAATCAGTGAAGAGACTCATCTTCTGAAAAGTACCACATAAGTGTAGAAAACAAAGCAAAGCAATAATGCAGTCATTTGGATTGTATCCTTGTGGTCCTACCCTAAGACGGGGAGTTGAGGTATACATAGAGGTAGCTCAAAAACCATCTTAGGACTCTGGCTGTGGTGGTGCAGGTCTGTGTGCTTAGCACATTGGGAAGCTGAGGCAGGAGATCTCAAGTTCGAATCCAGCCTGGGCAATTTAGCAACTTAGTGAAATCCTGTCTCACAATAATAATAAGGGCTGGAGATGTAGCTCAGCGCAAAGATCCTGGGTTCAATCCCCAGTAGCAAAAACAAACAAAAAAGACCAAGAAACCAGTCTTGGAGATGGGTTAGTGACCTCTTCACCATTCCCAAATTCTTGCTGTCCAAATAGCAGACACACCTGAATGGAAACAAATGCAAGAGTTGGTCTACCGGAGCATTACTGCAAATTCTCTCATTCAGTGCAGAAGTGGTTTTATTCCAGTTCCAGTAATTATAAACTACATTCATACAAAACTCGCAGGAAAATGCAATAATCTCTCTTTAGAAACACTGGAAAAAGCTCATCTTTGTGAATCTTACTCATTTACTACATTACTGGACAAAGGAGAATAACGTTGGCTAAAGTGTGCTCCTTCAGTCTTGGGTCACTTAAAAAAAAAAAACTTCAATACTAGTGCACACTGGAACAGGGCAAAAAAATGAAAGGTAACATCCAGAAATGCAGTTAACTGACTGAAGTGACAGAGTGCAAAGTTAATTTTCCTTTGTTTGAGTTCGGGTGTGTGTGTGTGTGTTTGTGTTATTTCAGGAGCCTGCACACACGCTACAACAGCCCTGGGCGGGAGCAGCTCGGACGCTCAGAGGGTCTCCGACGGCCGGGACCCCGCTCCAGCTCGGCTCACCCCAGCTCCTCACTGCCCCAGACCCCCGCCTCAAGCTCCCCACCCCCACTGCGCCGCTGCAGCCGGGCGGAAGGCAGGGTTGGCCTCCACGGCGACCTCCCGGAGGGCAGTCCCTGGTAGTCCCCAGCAAGTAAGTCCCCGGCAGCCCAGGAGCCGCCCGGCGCTCCACCGCGCCTTCCGAGGCCCGCAAGCAGATACTCACGGAGCTGGAACACCGCCGGGCAGGAGAAGGGAGTAGCGGGAAAGGACTAGAAATTCAGGGGCGGGGCGGGGCGCGGCAGAGGACCCCAGGGCCAGCGGGACGACCTCCCGCTGGCGGCCAGAGGCGCTCACCTCTGCGCTGCCCGGCCTCGCCAGCCGCTCTGCTCCCGGGGAGCCGCAAAGCCCGGAGGAGGAGCCGCTCCCGCAGAGGGCGGGCGGCGGGCAGGCATCCGCGCCCCGGGCTGCGGCCGGGCTGTAGGGGAGAGGGGAGGGGGCGTGGAGGATGTGTGCCTCCACCCAAGACTGAGAGGGTGGGCTGCCGGAGCCTGGCGGAGGGGTGTGCTCAGGGGCGGGGGGGAGCCGCGCAGCCGAGAGGGTGCGAGGGAGGTGGGGGACGAGGTGGGCAGAGTGGGGGCGGGGGAGACCAGCATGGGAAGTTAGCCCTCCAGCCGGACGGCTCTCACCTTGGCACATCCCACCAAGAATTGTCTGGGTCTGGAGCAAAGCACAAGGGGGTCTGAAACTTTATGTCATTTTCTCATACACACGTGACCCCCTTGCAGTCCAGATGGTTTCAATCACTGGAGGAAAAAAGCGGCTTTGCTGGTATGCATGAAAAGCCGGAGCTGGGAGAGTCTGGGAAAAGCTGCCTGTACAGCCGCCTGTCTTCAAACAAACCGATGAGCTCTTTCCGTCCTCCCAGCTCCCTGCCTGGGGGAGCCCTACAAAACCCAAACGACCTTTAAAAAAAGCTACTTGGGCACTGCAGCAATAGCAAAACTCAGAAAGCACTAGGGTTCCAAGGGTGCCGGTCTGAACTGAAAACTCTGAGGATATTCTGAGAATTAAAAAAAAAAAAATTCCAGGGGCTTGCAAAACCAAAAAACTAAGAAAGGGTGTCATTTCATAATGAAATAATGAAATACTAGCAGTGAAGATCTGACTTAGTGGAATTCTGAAGGAAATTGTTAACCCAGTATGACAATTCACTTGGAAAAGAATAATGCAAGTCACTTAAAATCCAAACCCCTACCTACTTGGTGGGATGTTAGGACGCCATGAGCCAGTTTCTCCTCCCATAAATCACTACAAGTAGATCTTGATGTTGAAATACAATCTGGGGAGCAGCAGTGAAAATTAACTTCCACAATTTAGAATTTCAGATTTATAATTTCACTCAGTGTGTGTGGATGAACATAAGCAGGCCTTAAAGCCAAGATGTATTTCAAAGCCCAAGGCAATTCAATTGTCACATACCCTAAAGAAGTATTTACTCAGCTGCAGGGCAAGCATCAAAAATAATAAGGAATTTAAGATCCATCCTGGAAATAATTTAACTTGTTCATGATCAAACACAAACAATCGCAGGAGCCAAACTGATAAAGTCTATTGTTTCTTTGGCAAAAATTGATATTATGCATGAATTACTACTATTAACTCTTTGTTTCCGTAATATTGATGCGAGAGGATCTATTTGGCCTTACGTGCTGTGTGACACATTGTGAAAAATAAATCCTTCCCTGGTAAGTTGAAATGGTTCTACATGAGGAAGACCCAAGATTTCAGCTGTTGTTAAAGGCACACTAGAAAGACATGGGACAACCTGAATCTAGGCAAAGTCAGTACAAGTTTTACTCCACTCACACAATATGGGTTTCTCCTCTAGTTCAACGCTGATGTATGTGAACCTCTCCAGAGACCTGAATGGACTTACCTCTCCATTCTTCAATCTCTCATCTGCCCTATCACAGAAGAAAAGCAATGAAAGCAATCCACAGAAAACCATACTGGAGGCCAATTCCACCTGCAGCTCCCTAAACTCTCTAAGGAACTTTTTCTCCCTTACTGTTAGGGATTGAACAGAGGCCAGAAGCATAAGCTCTACCACTGACCTACACCCGCAACCCTATAAGGAGGCTCTGAAAGTTGCTATTGAAGTCCTGTTTTTCTTGGGAGTAACATCTGTAAAGAAAGCCAACTCAACAACAGAAGCCATCAAGATTTTCTTCTGTTCAGGCCCCGAGACGTAGTTATTTTCATCTCTGGCTATTGTTGCTACTGCCTCTTATGTATGTATGCTGAAGCAATGTAAGAATACCATAATGAATAAATAGTTCTTTTTGTTTCCCAATTCCATTTGCAAATTACATATGGAGCTTTTTTTAATTCCTGAGAAAAACCTTTACTAGATCTCTTTCAGAAAGAAAATCAACATCCCTTCAGTTTTGCAAATGCAGTCTAAATATAGTCTCGAGCGTAACCTCCACTTACGTGAGCATTATTTACTGCTAATATTGGCCAGATATTTATTAGAGACACTGACATCTGAAATGCTTTAATGCTATTTTAAGTGATGTCAATCTGCATTAACCTAATGTTCATATCATTGGCAAACAAGGCCAATCGTGTATAAGATGCTAAGGAAGATGGTAAACTCACAGCAGCCAGGTCCGTCTTGCCACTACATCCTACTTGCCTAACATAGTGCCCAACATGAAATAAATGCACAAAACTCACATGCTGTCTGAGCAAATGAAAGATGCATAAGTCTGGCACAGGGGCACATGCTTGTAAGCCTAGCTTCTCAGGAGGGTAAGGCAGGAAGATCACTTGAGCCCCAGTTCCAGCCCGATCTGGTCAACGCAGAGAGACCCCCACCTCTAAAACAAAACAAATCAAAAGAATGCAGTTAAGAAGACAAATAGAAACATGCCCCCTTGGGCTGCAATGCTGCAGAGGCATGTGACTTGTAAACAACAGAATGAATAATAGCTATGGGAAGGACACTAGCAACAGAAAAGCAGAAGTTAGCATTATCTAGCCATGGACTTTAATCACAATATAGATTCAGAAATGCACAGAGACCGCTGAAAATATAAAGCACTCGTAGGAGGAATTTGGTATATTCAATGCCTAATTTAGGGACTTCAGAGATACTTTCCCATGTCCCTATTATTCCGTACCCTCAACACAGAGCCAAGATAAGATTTGAGCATAAACATCCTGACTCTAATTTGGATAGCATGAATACTGTTTCTTTCATCCTCCTTATACGCCTCCTTCACCCTCAAGCCATTTCCTCTATACTGTCTTCTGTCAGTCTAATGAAAGTTTCCTAATCTTTAAAAGCAGTAGCTTTCATTCTCTTTGTGTGGAGCAATACAGTGCACCATGATTACATGGTTATACTCCATACAGATGCCTGGCAGCACCTCTTCTAGCTAAGCGTCTGTTTAATATTTTAACTTTGAGGAACTTAAGATCCAACTATTTTACTACATACCAAAATAGAACTTGACATCACAGAGATGGGCTTCACTTCCTTTTGCTATTTTAAATCCTGCACCTTAAGCATGGTGAGTCGTTTGGTTTTCTGGTTCCTGAATTTTGCCTTGGCATTTTTGTCGTTGCGTGGTTGAGTTTGTTTCTTTGTTTTCTTTGAAGGAAAGAAGTTGAGGTTTTCTGGGAAGACTATCAGGTTTGAAGCTGTAATATTCGTGAGACATTTATTTTCTCCTAGATCTTCTGTCTGTTATGTGTGGGCACTGAAGAGGCGCTGGGGGCTTGTTTTGCCTCAGAAGCCAAATGACCAGGTTTCTCTAAGGCAGGCACCTGGAAAAGTGGTTGCTTAAATGACCTATATCTTTTTAGACCATGTGATTCTAAACATTCTTCCCTCTTTATTTTTCAGTAAAAACATGTTCTATTTAAACAGCCATACTTAAATGCTAAAGACTGAAATCTTCCCAAAACATTTTAAAAAAATTATTATTAATCACTAATCCACAACCTCAACAAGTACTATTTAACCCAATCCTGCTTTCTGTTCTCCCCAGATTTGAGTAGAACCCCATTTGTAAATCACCCAATATGCATACTTGAGACTTTTCCATAAGCTTTAAGTCTTTGAATCTTTTGACCCCAAATGCCTGTGATCGCTGACTTCCAGGGGACCAGTACACTCAGAGATAGCTACCAGAAGTGCAAAAGGATGGCCTTGTAATCCCTTTGGCTTTTGTGCTCTCTTATTTCTAAGTCTCTTGAAAGGCAAATAAAATACGGCTTACATTCACCAGCATGCAACTAAGAAAGTCAACAGTATGAATCTCTGTGGCTAGTTTTCATAATCAAAAAGTACAATAGCAGGTACAAAATCACTGATTCCTAAATCAGTCTTCTAAATGGTCAGAAATTCGGATTCTTGGAGAACTGAATTAGAATCTGCAGGCTTGAGAAACACTAAATTCTAAGACTTTTATTTTGTTAGTTCTACATCAGGCAATTTTCTTTACAGGAAAGCACTATCACTATACACTCACATAGATGTCCTCAAACGACTCAAATATATGAGCTGAAATAGAATGCAGTTCATTCCTTCACAATAAGTAACTTACTTGGGTACAACCATATTTACAGCCTATCTCCAAAAGAAAAAAATCCATGAAATAAAGTTTTTAAAAAATTAATTCCTATCAGCAAGACATGGTGATACACATCTGTAATCCCAGCAGTCTAGAAGGCTGAGGCAGGAGGATCACAAGTTCAAGCCCATACTGGACAATGCAGCTACTTAGCAAGACTCTGTCTCAAAAACTTAAAAAGGATTGAGGATGTAGCTCAGTGTGAAAGTCCCAGTTCAATCCCTAGTACTGCAAAAATAGATAGGTAACAAAATTTTTAAATAATAAAAGGATGGAGAATGTAGCTCAGTCTGAAGGGCCTGTGTTCAATCCCAGTACCTTCACCCCACAAAAAAAGAATCCTACCACTGGGCAAAATTCCAGCAACTCGGGAGGCTGAATCAAGTGAATCACAAGTATGTGGCCAGGCTGGGCAATTTAGTGAGACCATATTTCAAAATATTCAAAAATAGATAGATAGATAGATAGATAGATAGATAGATAGATAGGACTGGGGATAGCTCATTAGTAGAACACTTGCCTAACTTGTGTTTGGCCCTAGGTTCAATTCCCAGAACAAACAAAAAAACAGACAAACAAACAAAAAACCCTACCAAATAAAGTCTAAATGAAATTTAACAAGACTTGAAGAGATCACTGAGGAATCGGTGATATTTTGTTTAAAATATAACAGCACAAGTAAGCCACTGAAACTATTGATTACATCTCTACCTTTTGTAGGCCACATAGCTTAACATGTATCTAATTAAAACCTACTTAATTTTTAAAATTGCAGGGGCTAGCCAGGCATGGTGATATATGCCTATAATTCCAGCACTTGGAAGGCTGAGGCAGGAGGACTGCCATGAGTTCAAGGCCAACTGAACTACATAGTGAGACCTTGTCTCAAACAAATAAACAAACAAACAAAAACTAAAGGGAATAGGAAACCCATAACCCAAAAATTCATTTTTGACATTGCGACTTACAGAAACGTTTTATACTACAGAGGCAAGCTATATACTTGTTAAAAACTCCAAATAGTTGAAAAGACTATATAAAGAAAGACAAATCTTTCCTCTCATTCTCCCTGTCCAGTTCCCTTGTCTTCAAGCAATCACTGCAATTGGTGGTGTAGTTTCCCAGAGATGTGGCACAGGGACACAAAATTGTTTCCATGCATATAATTCATTTTGGGGAAGGTCCATAGCTTTTAATAGCTTCTCAAAATGGCTCATGTTCTCACAAAAGTTAAAAATCATCATTCTACACTCTAGAGCAAGGCAGAGCTTGCGCTCTTATCCCAATCTATTGGTAGAATTAGCAGAACTGCAACCTGCACTATGCTTATTAATATTTCTGTGTACAAATTCAGACAACAAAATTGCTTAAGAAAGCAACGCTGGTCAACATCCAGATGTGGTTATAATTTACCACATCTGTTTGTAAATAACTTCCTGATTTTTATTTCTGTCTCAAACAATCCCTGCAAAGAATAGTTCCTTCTGTTACTATATTCACTGACGAACAATAATAATGTAGGAAATTGCTGGCATATGAGTACACACAAAGACAACAGGCATTTTTCTCTCACAGTCAGAAATTTTTCTACTGGGATAGAGGGAAGGTTTTATTTATATCTATGCAGAACTGAAGGGGAAAATTAACTTAGTACTCTTGGCTAAGGATCTTCAGAGAAGAACCATATCCTGTATGATATATATTAATCTTGTCTCATAGTCTCACTTGGATTTCAGTGCTTAACATGTTCTTAAGTGTTACCATTGAGATTTTAATATAAAATTATTTTCCTATAGCATATATGTCCATCAACAGATGAATGAATAAAGAAAATGTATATATACACGATGGAGTGTTACTCTGCCGTAAAGATGAACTTGAGGCATTTGTAGGTAAATGGATGCAACTTGAGAACATAATGTTAAGTGAAATAAGTCAGGCATACCAGCTTAAATATCACATGGCTTCTTTTATATGAGATTATATATATATGGAGAGAGAGAGAGAAAAGGAGGGAGCAAAGTAGAAGATAAATAGGAAATAGAGTTCAAATAATTCTCTAAATTCCCTACTTTGCTATTTCAAAAGTATTTTAATATATATATGCTAATTCCTTTCATTGATGCTACTAGTTTATCTTAGTTCACTGAAACAAAAGTTTTGTGTTACTTGTTTCTTTTTTATAAGAATCACTTTGGTTTGTCGTGTACTCTGAGCAACTCCTCTGAAGATGATACTCCATGTAATAACTATTGTTATTTTCTTATTACTTGACTATGAAGTTTTGTTTGGTTAATGATATAAAAAAATTAGAAAATAAAAGCACTGAAACACAAAAAAGAAAGCTTTGTGCTATCATCTCTTTCTTTTTTGTTTTTTGTTTGTTTGTTTTTTGTTTTTCTTCCAGTACCAGGAATCGAACTTATGACCTTGCACTTGCCAGGCAGGTGCTTTGCCACTGAGCTAAATTCCCAGCCCCTCTCTTTCTTTTTTGTAAGAGAGAATTTGTATGTCCACATCTTGTATACTTTGAGGTGATACACAGTGTATTAACTTTTCTTATTCTCTTATTTGTTATGAAGTGTTGTTTTATTTTCACATAAAAATTTTTTAAATTCTTAGTTTCTAATTCACCTTGAGACCATAATGTTAACTAATCAGACACACAAGCTTAAATATCACATGGTTTCCCTTACATGAGAAA